ATTTAGCATGCTCAATAGATGATGGACTTTTTCTCGATTTGACAGCTAATCGCAAGCCATGAACAACAGGTGCAGTGACAAGAGACCTGATCCAAAGATGCACGTTAATTTAATGAATCGTGCTCCGTACCATCGTCGGGATACCTGAGACCACTTTACCAGGGTTGTTTCGGGTTTTGAGGGAGGACCAATTGCGGTAGCATTCAACGACATTCACGAAAAAGGTGAAGTCCTCAAGTGAAAGCCGCACCTACGCATAACGACATTCGTGAATGGCGGATAGAAATGAAGGAAATGAATCAGACAGCTGCTGAGTTTCGCCCATGGTGTAGTATCGAGACGTATAAATAAATAAATAAATAAATAAACAAATAAATAGCAAGGAATTGTTAAATGCTACGACAATGGTGATGTGATAATAGCAGATGGGATGGTTCTAATGAAATCGATTTTTATACGGAAGTCAACTGAAAAACTTAGTCTTTACGTGCGACGCCGTTCACTGTCACCGTTCCCTACAGCTGATTTATGCGATTCATCCTGAAAAAGAAGAATCAGATTTGAAGGTGGACAAAAATGGAATTTAAGAAAATCGGTAGTCGTCAACATCTTTCTTTTGAATTTGAAGTTTGATTTAACCCTTTGTGTTTGATTCACCATTTTTAATGGATAAATCAAATTGATTCCTTATATGATAGCTTCAATACTAAACTTTGATAAGGCGTATTAGGAGTTTCGTTCGCCACTCGTTTAGGTACTGAACTTTTCTCTCTCTCTTACTAACACGCAGGTGAGGCGTATGAATTGGTTTCAATGCATAGTATTACCGATTGTTTACTTTATTGCAAAGTAGCGTTCTGCTAAACACTTTTCATAAATTAAAAGACCGATTTTGTATAAACCTTGGCATAAATGGTCGATATATTTATTTATATGTTCCTATGGAGTAATCTTGTTCAGCGACTTCGAAATTGGCGTAAGTCGTCCTCGTTATAGCCGTCGCTGACTTCGTCGTCGTCGTTGTTGTTGTTGTTATTGTTGTTGCTGTCGTCGCTGCTGTTGTTGCTGCTGGCCGATGGCTTACTTTTCGACGATTTCGCCTACCTCAGAGCAGCCCTGTTGCGAGTGGGATAACAACAACAACAACAACGACAGCTTATACTAGCTCCGCATAGGAACATATAAATAAATACTTCGTAACCAATCGAATCAGATTGCCCAACGCAGATGTTGTGCTAAACGCGTACTGATATCAGTTAATTTCCTCATCTTATAGTTCACAAAACCTTCTTGGAAGTGTTTTCAGTGCGCACATTGACCGCAACGAAAAATTAACGACAGTTAAAAGCGCCCGATCCAAGAAAAGGTGTCAGTGTTTTAAGTAAACAGAGCAAGTAAATACATTACATAAATTAATGATTAAATAGATAGGTAAATAAATAAATGAATATTCCATAAATAAATGGTTCGCTCGGAAGTGTCTCCATGTGAAACCATGATTAATCGAAAACCAGTATAACGCGATGAAGCAAAGTATACCTTCATAGGGTCTTCGCAAAGCATTCCCGTCTCGACTTTCGACATCACTTCTGACATCAGTGATTCAACTAACTAAAAAATATAACGTTTTTTAAAAAATGGGTCTATACGGCAGAAAGATTAATATAAGCGAGATTTTGCCCAACTATCACATCGTTTCGTAAAATCGCGTTACTAAACTAACATTGGTGAGTAGAAAAAACAAGCAGAAGTTATATCGGAATAAATAGTCTGTGCTATCCGAAAGATGTCTAATCTCTCAGATCTCGATGTTCTTTTGTAAATCTTCCACTAATGGATCAATAATAATGGAGGCGGAGTTAAACATTTTAGGTTATTTGGAACAAAATTTCTAGTTCATACCTTTTATCAACTTCAATTAGGTAACAATTAACAACCTTAGCTGATAAAAATAATACTTATATACACCTTCGCGATGAAGATAAGAGCTCATTTATCTCATAGTGACAAAATCACAAGCATTTGACGCCCACACATCTTCAGATAGTATTTTCGACAACACTTGTTTGGCCGTAGAAAAGTCTTTCGAATCCTCACCGGAAGATCTTCTTAAAATACTTGAAAGTATAAGAATCCTAGGTACATTTTCCTAAAATGTGGACAGGATCGAATCTCCATTTTTTCAACTTCTACAGTCTAAGTGAATTCCACCGTGTTTGGACGTCATTGCACAACACAGTTAGGCCGTTCCGATTGGTCAACGCCGTTTGTTGACATTACGGTTCACTGTTTACTTCGTTGATTCTTTTGCAGTACTTTTCTGTAGCAGCAAATCCAGACGATTCAAAACGTTGTACAAGTAAAGCGATTCCTTTTCTAGACGCAGAAGAAGTTGTATTACTTCCTTGCTCATCACGAAAAAGAGCATTGTTTAGCCACTTTGGTTTGACAGTACTGAAACGTCTTTGGTTGGTGTATAGAATCGGTTTCAAAGCGTATATCACAACAGCGAATCTCTCTTGCTGACTGAAAGAAACACGGTACACAATTGTCGAGTTTTTTGCTGACTGTAAGATTCAGCGGAATGCACACAGCGCAGTGGTTAGAAGTACCTTGTAGCATATTCTTCATCATTGATTCAATCTCGCGTTTCGTGAGCCCATCATCCACCTAGAAAGACAAATTGGTGCCAGGCTTGTCTACGAAAATAAAAGCACTAATGTATTGGTAGAAATTAGAAATCATTGTATGGATCAAATATGCACACGATCATCTCGTCAACGGTGTTGAACGCATGCACTCGTAAGGATAGTACTCTTTTATCCTTTTCACTAAACAGTTCGGCCGACCCGTACCGACATTACTGTTTTAGGAGCACCTCGTTCTGCTGCAATCTCTTCGACCATTCAACCTTGATCTATACAAGTTAACGTCTTCATAGGATCATCATCGAATCATTAACGGTTGCGGGTCATTTCTGAGCCTATAAGATAGGACCCTTTCCGTGATCACACCCCTATCACGATTCTTTTAGAATCATCACATATCCAAGGAGGTTGTCGGCCGCTTTTGTTGTAGTACAAAGTCTGTGTTTGAATTTGTAGTAAAATTTGGTTTTTTTTGTTTCTACTTTTGTTCCACTAGCATAAATTTATGAATTTGTTAATGAGAATGCGAACGTGCCCAAAAACGGCCACCTACACTTTGGGCGAACGTGTCCATAAACAAAGTTAATCAGCTGTATTTGCAGTTGCAGTTATTTCACAGATCACGGTATGAAACTCGCACGTGTCACCATGCTGGAATGAAACCATTATCACGGACGACGATAGGGAAAGAAACGAATGGCATATGTGCTGGGGTCCGCACAAGTCTTGAAAGCGGACCATACCAAGCCTCCAAGTAAAGGGTCACCCGTCACCAGTATCAGCCGTAGTCCCGTTGATCGTCGAGTGACTCGAGCGAGCGTCAGTAAACCTTCCATTTTTCCCTGTCGCGTGCAAAAGTAGCCCAGTGGGTTCTGCTCGCTCTAGGGACTCGTCAAAAACCGTATTTTTCCTCTAGGCTCTTCATGAAGAACTCTGACCATCAGGTGGGTGGTCCCCCTGCAGTACGTTTGACATCCCGAAAAATTCAGTCACTGACAGCTCTTCCCCATTGGTTGTCATTCATACGCATTACGTGTACGGCCCACCTTATCCTCGACTGTTTGGCGTACAGAACGGCATCTTTGATTTTTGATCATTGACGCAGTTCGGAGCATTGGATCCCATACGTTACTTGTGTGAAATGGAATACTCCTGGCATCGCTCTTTCGACTGCGCGTTCGATAAGGCTGAGTGAAAGATCTTTCATCCTGCTTATGCAGGCGACCAGGTTTCTGACGCATGCTTTAAAGCAAGAAGTACCATTGAGTTGAAAAGGTAGGCACGGAGTCGGGTGTTCTTTGTTCTCTTCACTACATCCTCGATGTTCTTGAAAGCCCCTCGAGCCGCTCGTTTCTTTCTACTTAGCTCTGGAGCTACGTCGTTCATCATATTGATTTCCCGACCTAGATAGAAATAACTGGAGCATTCGGAGATATTCGTTTCGTTGAGTGTGAATGCGGCATGCGAAACCAATCCATTCTTCATGAACATCGTTTTTGTGAGAATTAATCGAAGACCAATCTTTTCACAGGCTTTATCAAAATCGTCAGGCATACGTTCCGCTTGGCTAAAATAAAGGATAAAAAGTATAAAGCTCTTAGCATTGACCTGAGGGAAACGACATACACTCGGCTTCACTAGGTATCGTTGGAGGTGACTGAATGCATATCTGGCCTTTAAAATAACTGGCGTTGGCCTACCGATGTATCGAACCAATGCTGCTGTCTTGCCAAACAAATGTGGTAGCAATTTCCCAACCACGGAGAGAAGAAAGGTTTGGTGGGCCCGTGGGCACGGGGATCGATTCCACGTCTGTGTCGCAGTGGCGCCTCCAACCACTGCGCCACACGCCTCTTATCGAATTAAATAATTATAAATTTATTATGAGTTTATACCAAAGCCAAAATTAATAAAGATATATTACGCGGAATCACTGGAGCAGTGTACACAACGCCATGTGAACACAAGCGGAACGCCGAAGTTCAAAAAGAAAGAACCAAAAATGTTTTCAGGACAATCTTGCAAATACACAGACTTACAATAACTATTAAAGAACAACGGCTCTTCACTTTTTCTCAAATTGCTGCACATATTTTAATGGATGGATTTTAGATGGCTTGCGTGAATGCGAGCGTCAAGGAATTTTAGTATGAAAAACTCCTAAGGCTTCATTGCTTGAAGGCGTCCTTCCATCACAAGCACAAAAAAGTGTAAAATTTCTCTGATAACTTTTCGTTTTTGTTCGTGATTCCTGCCTTTTCTGCCTTTCAAAATTTTGGAATTAAACTTTTCAAGACCTTCATCGCTGAGTGGCAACAAGTATTGCAAAAATCGCACCTATTAAAATTGAAATTAAAAGTCGTGAACCTCTTCCAATTCTTCTGGCTCCAACTTCTCGGTGCCTTGATTCGCAGTGACCTCCAGTTCTCTCAAATCTCTGGATACGACGGTTGCTGGAGTCTTTGCACTGGCCAAATAGGTCCTGCCGGAAACACTACGTTTGTCCTTGAAGGATTGTGGTTTGTTAGATTTGACGGGAAGCTTTGTGAATGTTTTCATTGTGGTATTCGTTGCCATAAGACAACTCATCATCTTCACATGCATATCCGCCATTTCTTATGCATTATGAATGCACTCACATCAAAACATTCTGTTGAAGCTGCTATAAATAATAGAGGTATATTTGTTTGCTTACGAAAAATGACTGAGTGGCATCCAAAGGTTAGCGAATGACTTTTGGAGGGCGTCAAGTACGTATCAAGAAATCCATTCATATTGTTCACAGAGCTTCTTTATGTAGCCGCTCAGTCAATACTGCGACACTTCTTGTTTTTTGATCAAGTGGAATCTAATGCGTAACTCTGCAAAGTGACAAGGATAACTAGAGGTGTAACTGCGAGCGGCTTAAGCTCGTTCGACGATCAAGGTGAAGACAGGTGCGGTCATGCAGAAATTACAAACTGGCAAAACGTGATACTTACCTCATAAATGTTACACGGTATTTTGGCATCTGAATAACCTCGACAATCGAATATTTATCTCAAACGACTTTATAAACACGAGCACCAGAACTGCGAGAAGTAAGACGATTTTCTATGCTAAAGGAAAAAATCCGTCAATATTTTACATGCACGAGAATTGAGGAATCGATTAAAAAAAGTGGCGAAATTAGTTCGTTTTATTATCTACTGAGTAAATACTGAAAAATCTTTCATTGAATGCTGGCACTCCTTGTTGTTCCTGACGGTGGCGCTCTCTCTTTCGATAGAAGATCCTTGCCATCGTTCACAGTGCCACATGTGCTTGCTTTTTTGCATTGACGAACGCACATTGAGCTCACAAGAGATAGGAAGAAGATCCCTTGGGAACAAAGATTTTCATCCGCTGAGCGTGCTCTATCTGAAGTGAATGCTACTCTGGTTACGAAACGACATTGTCCAAAGAGAACTAGGACTCGCTACCACATTGAGAGAAGAGGTAGAAAAAAATCGTCAAACTAAAAACACGCATTTGCTTTGTTCATCGAGCTAGCATCCAGGCTATTGAGCAACTTAGCTGCATGATAAGAATGAACGAAGTTTGTTTGAGCTAATTTCCGCTCGATTTACTTGATCATTAATGGGACCAAAGGTGACACGGGTGTCAAAATTTATCGATTTCCTACTGTTTCAATTTAATAGCAGTATTTCTATAGTAAAAGGTGCGTGTAGTCCAGTAGTTAGACGCGACCTGCAATACATATAGGATCGATCCCTCATTACAGGCCCACCAATCCTTCCATCCATCTGGGGTCGGAAAATTGGTATCAAAGATCTCATAGGCCAGATATGCATTTAATCAGCTCTAATGGTGCTAGATGAAGTCTATTGCATGGCTCGCTGCTCAAGGAATGATTAACAACGAGAGCTTTATCTTCTTTAGCTTTATTTCTGTAGTAGCATATATCGTGCCACACATGAATTTTTTATAAATTTAAAGGATGGTTACTTCTTTCACATTTAAAAGGTAGAACAAACTTTATCAAAATATAAAGAAGATTTCTACAGACATTTCAACCACAAAGGTACTGTATACGCTTGCATGTGAAAAGTGTCTATTCAGATCCTTGTAAAAATCTCTATATATATTTTCCCCAAGTGTTCTATTATTTCAAACTTAGGCAACTGTACATTTTTGGACGTCCTTTTCATTTTTTTCCACTATTAGGTAGCCGTCGGTAGACTAATCGCACAGTCTGCTGACATCCTCGACGGATCCAATTCGCAAAACAGCAGAAATTTTTTCCGACCCGAAAAACCTAGCAATTTTCTCAGGTGAAGACCAGAGCATGCCAAAATATGGGCAAAGCTGAATTAGGATTCCAGCGAAAATTACTTCTGACCGGAATCCAGCATGTCATTAGGAAGAAAAAGGCACAGATATTCACGTTATGAAAAAATCCATACCTGACCCCTATCACATCAACAGGTGTCGCTTGCAAGAGAACGAAACGAATGGAATTAGTGTTTGCACTTGTACGAAACGCGAAAACTAGTATTCTAAGTGAATAAGGCTTTCCGCAGGAACCGTTAACTACTTGAATTCGGCTTGTTACATCGTCGCCAATCGATCGGTCGTTGGGAACAACGTCCCAGTGGAGGAATGTCATTGTCATAAGCGGCAAATCTTTCTGTGATCCACAATGGACGTTGAACACGTAAGGACGTCGCGGAGCGACAAACTCGAAAATCTTGGAAAAAACTCTAGTCCCCCAGAGATCAATTTGTCTTTGGGAGGAATAGAAAGGAGAGCGTCAAATAGTATACTAATCCATACACGAGGTCTAGAACTTCTACCGATGACGGTTGCTGAACAATGAAAAGAGGAGGATAAGTTCTCAGATTCTTATGAAAGCGGCCTCAAATCCACGTCTGTATATCAACCACATCTTCTTTAAAGCAAAATCTATCCTGCCTACCGTATTGTTCTTCATGTAAGAAACCAAATGCGGCCCAATATACAAATAGTATTTATCAAAGAAATACAAAACGTCAACAACATCCCTAAGGAAGAGATTCTTCTTCTGTTTATCTGAGTTCGGCAAAGGCTTTCGGCATTGCGCATTTGTTGAGCTTCTTCACGTAATCTAGCATCTCCTGAAAATCCGAAAAAGCAAATTGTAATTTTACGTCAGAATTGAAACTAATGAGTAAAAAGACAAAGTTCTCGGCGTTGATCAATCCCTGAGGGGTGCGCCATGCATTCAACTTCATTAAGCATTGCTTAGAGGTGATTGCATACAAATCTGGCCTTTACAATGATTTACAGTGGCCTACCGATGCATTTAGCCAGTGCTGCTATTCTCCTAGACAAGTCTGGTACCAATTTGCTGACCACGGAAGGATGGAATACTTGGTGGACCATCGGCACGGGATCGGTTCCACGTGTGTGTTGCAGGGCGTCTGCGACCACTGCACCATACGCTTCAAACTAATGAGTACTACTGGAATATTTTCAAGATACGTCTCATCTCTGATTTCATCGGGATTCCATTGAATTCCACAAAACTTTTTATGAGAAATAACAAACTGTAACGAAGCCGAAAAAGTAGATAGTTTCTAACATCAAACCGAAGAAAACATCATTTAATGCATTTTCCATGGGCGATTCTGATTTAATTTTCAGATGATAAATCGTTGGCGACATTAGCACAGAAAAATAATGTAGCACCTTTTTCATCAAAATCTTTCGTTTTCACCAAAAATCGTCGGATTCCTTTTGTTATTGTTCAACACTTTCGTGATGATGCGCGTTGATTTCAATCTGTTCGTCTAACGGCACTGAAGACGGTGCGTATTGGTTTCAGTGCGTAACCATTTTGAGGGTTTTTTGTGTCCGACTTATCAGAAAAATATTGTCTGTTGTGGGAAATCCACTATATCCGTAACGGCAGAAAATTAGGCTTCAGCGCGAAAGTGTCAAACAATTGAACTTCAACAAGAAAACTAAGTACCGTGCTAGCAAAAGACAGTAAATTTGGGCTTCTTTCCGGAAGGGGTTTTAAAACACATTGCCCAAATCGCTACCGCAAAATCTTTTTTATTTCTCCAACTGGACAAACTGCAATTGTGTGAAGAGTATTAGATTTGAAACTATGAACAAATCTGGCAGCGTCTTCACCCAATAGGGTAAGTCAATTTTTTTCTCCCTGCGATTTTTCTTCATACCAGAGAAGAAAAGAAAAAGACAAAAAGAGAAGAGGAAAAATGAAGGAGATCCGTCCAAACGGGATTCACCTACCTGAGCGCATCTCTCTTCTGTTTGCTTACGAGAATTCACACGTTCACTACACTCATCGAGAATTTTCTTCAAATCTGCAGCTTCATCAGCACATCGTTCACGCCACTGTTGCAACTGGTCTCCACCGTCTTCCGAAGGATCTTTTTTGTTTGCGGCTCTTTTTTGGAGGCATTCCTTAAGAGAAAAAAAGTAGGAAAACAAGATATATGCCAAAAAACCAGGGTCTGGGTTGTAGTGTAGTGCTTAGAAGTATCCTTTAATACACAACTGATTTTACCACCCACGAGTGGCTGACTTGGTCAGTCCGTGAGCGGGATCCAACCAATGTCGACGTATCTATTGCAGGGTAGTTCTAACCACTGTGCTACACTTGTGCGTCACAAGACTGAGCTAAGAAATTCGAGATTCTGGTAATGATGATCGAAGTAGTCATTTCGCCAAAATGAAAAAAATCAGGAGGTCGGAAAATTCATTCGCTTTAGCCACAAGCGTTAGACATAAACCGCCAGCTTGCGAATTTTAAGTGCCATCAAACACAAGACAGGGTAGTCATCTATCAGAAAATTAGACTTTCCCATGAGGATCCTAGTGGAAAAATATGATTGCTTCCCTAGAGCAAGAAGAACGCTCTGCATAAGTGTTGTAAATGACAAAGATGAATTTAGACTCTACTAAAAGCACCTCGATTCGCTCGATTATCATCCACAATGGAAACGTTAACACAGCTTTTACTCTTGAAAAATTGCGATGGATCTAAGTAGTATTGAACGGAGCTGTAAGCTGTGCAATGAGAAGAAGGTTCCGGTGAAAAAATATTGCCACTCCTTTGGATGGTTTCTCAGAAGAGAATTTGTTCACTTATCATAAAGAATATCTCCGTTTAAAGGTACTTTAAGACCGAGGAAGAAGAGCCAAATGAATTACACCAACGAAAAAGCCGAAGGAATTGTGGCGCAAATATTATCGACTAAGGAATAACAATACTTATATTTACCTCTTCTAATGATGATTTCAGTACATATGCAAACATTTTCATATCAGAAACATCTACAACACAATAGTAATACAAAGTTAGTAAGGTAGTGGGAGCTATCATACCAGTCATTGGATCGATTAAAATGGAAGTAATTCGTCCACGAGTGGATCCTGAGAGAGTTCGTCTCGTTAAGTTGGCTTAACATGTTTCGCTCTCTCGTTCAACATGCTTTAACAGGTTCGCTACATCAATGAGCCCTTTAAAAATCAAGCGCGTCCCGCACTTTTCAGATTTGATTAGGGAGGATTCGTTTGAATCGATATACACCACTTTATCGATCTTTTCTTCAAGTCCTTTGGAGATCGTAGATGTCCTGACACTGTCAGCTCCCCGTAGATGAGCTTTGTTAGAATCAACACTTGTAAGCTTACCGATATTTCCTAATGCTTTACGAAACAAAAATCTCCCGACCGTTCCAGCACCTCTAAAGGAAACCTCATTCAATTATTTGTGTATCCATTCCTCGATTTTTTCCCACTTGTTTAGAAATCATAGACCTTTGGTCCGTGCCAGCTCTGCATATAAGGAAGATTCGTTCATTTCGGGACGGATAAGTTTATCGATTTTTCCAAGTCCTAGAAATCGCAGTCGCTCCGCCCTTGTCACCCTTGCATAGGGAAGGTAGGTTCATTTGGTACCTATTCTTTTGCCGACTTTTCCAGCTGTTCCAGAAACAGCAATCCCGCTCCCTACCAACCTTGCTTAGGAACGGCTCGTCCGAATCAATTTCTAACCAGTTACCGATTTTTCCAGACCCCTGTATCGATTCCAGGTCTATTATTTTACTTGATGCAATTCTCTACCACTATTCCAAGCATCATCAGAGAGGCTTGCGAATATTTTGTATTTCGTACTCATTCCGTTGTTTTACAAGATTTGGTATACTGCTTAAACGCGAGAAAAATCTTTACTTATTATGATACTCGAATTGCCCGGCTTCATTCGTTGTGCGGGCCCCAGTATGATCTTCATTTTTTGGAGTTTTGCTGGTTTAGCCACTGTGGTTCCCAGGGGTACTGAGGTCAACCAAGGCAAAGTCTGTCCCAGCTCGTCACCACCACAGGCAGTCGCAGGACTTGTTGGCCAGGGGGAGATTTGCCGCGCCGCAACGCGACTAGTTTGATGCCAAGACGGTGGTGGATCCCGGTATTGGTTTACCCTTAGCCGGGCTTCTTGATGGAAACGTAGGACTCCTTCTTAGCTTGGTAGTCCCTCCCATGGGAATGAATGCCACCGCTGTGCGTCGCAAGCCGACACTCAGGAACAATCTCCCAGCCACGATGAGGCGGTAAACCATTGGGAAGAGAAAAATCTTTGCTCGATGAAAATAAGTTATTAAGCGACAACTAATGGCACATTTATAAAACACATACATTGTAATACGAATCGGTAAAATACACTTGGAGTTAGAATTGTGGCCTTTCTAGAAGAAACGTAATTCCAATCAGTTTAGATCTTCTGAATCGATCCCAACAGGAGAGTTACTTGCATTGCTTGCCAGTTCTGAGTTGCTTTAATCGATCGATACCCACCATTTTGATAAGCCTTAAAAGTAGAAAAATGTACCCAATGTAATTTCCATACTTATTAGAAGGGTTGAAAATTGTGATAGAAAAATGAAAGTAGCACAATAAAGAAAGAAACCTGCATGAAATGTGTAAACGGAAAGTTCAAGATCTTATAAGCTTCAGGTACCAACACTTGGTGGTTATAGGATGTTTATTTGATTTTCACGAGTTTAAGCTTTTTAGGAGCTATAAAACTGGCCACAGTGCAGAATGGGTTACGATGAAATATACGAGATCCATCAGAATCTCAACCAAGGTCAGACGGATTCTACATAATAACCTCGCTTCGTTACTTTGCGCTAATTGAAAAATGGCCTTACCAACAATTTGGATCTGCAAATTGGACTGGTTCGTTTGAGATTGAAATACTGCCTTTTCCAGATCGAAACTAGCCCATAACCAGCGTTTTATCCTCCCAGAAATGTCTTTTACCAAGTTGCTAACCCCGAAGAGATGGAAGACTCGGTAGGATAATGGTGAGGGATCAAACTGGTGGTCGACCCATTGTATGTTTTAGGGCGCTTCCAACCACTGTGCCACACATGCTCGACATCACTAATATCATTTGACAAATGACTTGATCGAACACTAGAGAAAACTCTATTTGAGCTTCCAGCGCTATGAAAGTTACCCAAGGCTTCGAATGGCAGTAAAAGTAATATAGTAGAGAGAAGGTTTATAATTCGTTTCTACTCTAGAACTAGACACGCCGTTCATTTATTGAAGAAATCGAACAGTCTCCTAAGTACTTCTCGGTCACATGATTTCATGCTTTAGGTCGAATCGATAAGCAGTGCATAACTAACAGAGATACGTGTACATAAACAAGTATATGTGAATAAGATTGCCTATAAAGAAAATGTAGAAGTCAATTCGGTTTAACCCTGATTTGGAACTCCTCCTACCACTTCATCTGCCCCTTATAGCAAAAGCATGGTCGCCTTCTGTGGACATATCCCTGGCATTACTACTAAGTGGATCAAAACTATTGCATAAGGAATATTTGTGGTAAAAGCATATTATCTAGGTGTTTTGAAGTTCTCGGCGCGTGCAGCGCAGTTGTTAGAGGCGCCTTACAATACACACCATATCGTTAGTTCGAACTCATACCTTGAAGGAACCAAGCCTCTTAACCCTCTGGTGTCGGCCAATGGGTATTAGCCCTTTCTGTAAAAAATACCGTTTCAATATGTTGGTAAGCTCCCGAAAGTCATTGTATGAGTGAAATATGGATTCAATAACCTCTACGAGTCTTAATGACGTCGAATTCGTTGTGCGTACCTAAGGGACTGACCAACCTTAAACGTTTTTATGCCTTATCTTGCACTTCTATTTTCGCCACTTCTCACTTCGTGAGGTGCGTGTGTAGCGCAATGGTTATAGGTCCCCTGGTCCACCAAGTCTTCCATTCCTCTGCGCTCGGCAAGTCGATACCACACTTTTTCGGGAGGATAGCAACACTTAATGACTAGATCGATAATCCATCACAAGTCATTGTATAGGCCAGATATACATCCAGTCATCCCTAACGAAGCTTAATGAAGTCCAATCAATGACGCATTCCTTAGCGATTCATCAAGGCCGAGCGGTTTATACTTTTCTTTTATTCCTTACTGGCCTTTACAATTTGTGTAAACCTAAACTCATAGCACAGAGAAACCACAAATTTTGCGTAGTCCACAAATGTAGCATATGTTAATCACTGCTTTGAACAAATTTCGTTAACTGTACACTTGAAAATTGAAGCACGATAATTCATAGAAGAACATAGAAGGTAAGAGAAAAAGCTGGACACTAAAAAAAGAAATTTGCTCAAAGAAATTGCCCTACTTGGTTGTGAATCCTGGAAACAGCATACTAGAGTAGCATAGCAACAAAATTGATGCTCTTTTGCTCAACCAGCACTCAGAAATTTTATTTGAAGCCGCCAGCAGAATCAGTTGGGCGCACCGTGCCGCAGACATGTGGGCCGTCGTCGGTTCAGACAGCACTTCTCCATTAATCTGAAGTAAACTCGATCGGGAGCTCAATAGCCGTTCTCCTTTATTTTCAAAGCAAGAAATAATACGGGGAATAAGCATTTGACACTTTCCACCTTATTAAAATCAGAAGTGAAGGCATTCAGAACATTGTTGGGCGAGAATGTCAAAGATGGACACACCAAGGAGACATCGACACCTTTTCCAGAATACTCAAAAGCCAAAACACGAAAATATCCCTAAAATTTCGAAGCATTGCTTAAATTAAACTGGATAGCTGCGATCAATACGTGTGGTTTTTACAGTCATAGATAAAAAGGTCATGCCATTATTCCAATTACTGAGCGTTACCATCAATGCATGCTTGGCAGCTGTATAGGATGGGGATAATATTGCACCGACAACACCGGCCACACTGCTGACGACAACGAAGTGGATTGGCGGCAAAGAACCTGTAAAGCTATAGTTCAAGGATACTGATTTTCCGACTAATGAACATCCAGAATTTGGAAAGCAACTGGTATTTGCATGGTCTATCCCGCGGCAAAAGTTCATTGGCACCAGCTCGAGTTTCTCGATGATTAATAAGCTTATAATTAGTAGAGGTCACAGATAAGGGAAAGAAAGATGCGTTTTACAATGTATTTGCATTGTGCCAGGGATCCAAATTCTACTGTTAATATGAATGTGTCGTTTTCTTGTTCAGCAATCGCGAGGTTTTTAAACAGCATACATTTACTTCCATAAAAACACAATA